TTCTTTATTTCGACATCTGTACAACGCGCAAATGAAAATGTTTTTACATCGTATACGCATATTTATTACTCTACACTTACTTACTCTACACATGATCACGCGACAAATATTAAGTTATCCTTTCAAATCCAATCGATCGAGCGAATACGGCGCAACCTCTTTATTCTGTGTCACATCTTCAAACAGAACAAAGAGTCTGCCATAGCAGAGTTTACGCATATGTAATTCAAATGGTGAGATACGATGCCGATGTTCTTTTTATCTCTGATCTCATCCCTTGTCTTAATTGGCAGTACACGCTACGTTCAGATAGATTTCCAAGTCCATGGTATCAAGCATTCGCACGTTTTCACTTGTCGACAAGAGATACATATAATTGGGCGAAGAATTCGTCATTCTAGACATCGCATTACTTCACTAATTACAAATCTCTGCTAAGTATGGCTAAAATTACTAACGGATGTATCATGACACGCGTCGCGTGATGAAGTTGAATATAAGAAATGATGAAGCTTTGTCACATTTTCTTTCCTACGTCTCATACATGTACGTACATATACAAAGGCCAATTTAGATCAGAAGCTAGCGACAAAGCTATAATAATATCGAGTTTTTCTCTCTTTTTTTTTCTTTTTTTTTTAAGCTTCTACAACGTGCTTCTCTCGTTATTAAATTTCGCGTTATCGTATATCGTATTAGGAAATGAGAAGAAAGGAAAACAAAACGAAAGTATCGAACCATTGGCGATCAGTAGGTATAGTAACATGAGATGTAGAGTTTACTGAAATTGATTGTTAAAATTTGGTAAGTAAATTCAACTGTGAAAACGTGCAAATTGTATACCTCTCGAATATCTACTGTTCGCACCGTTAACGTTAGCACGATTTGTCAGTATGCAAATGTTGTATCTCGCATACTCGATGTAATCTTTCGTGTTCAAAGATCCTGCGCGTATCAACATCTCGTAACAAAACTCATTATCAACAAATCGCAGAATCGCATATCTCGCTAGCGTTTTACCCTGCAAACCGTACTCCAGTTTTGTTAGTTATCGCTTGCTTCATTCAAATCTAATTCGAAAAAGTCGTGTGATCGTCTTATCCTCTTTTCTCCGAGTTCTTCCTTAATGAATGGAATCGATACGCAATCACGGGCAGAAAAATATGCCACATGCACTTCCATATACCTTATGCTCTCTCACATAATTGCAATAATCATCTCGATTAAAAACAATGAATGGAGGGAGGGGGGGGGGGGGGGGGGGGGGAAGCCAGAGAAAGGGAAAAGGAGAAAGTATTCGCTGGCGCGCGTGATCAATCTTGTTTTTCCATCGAGTTGTTACTTGATATTACAATGTAACGCAAGCTATGTATGAGAAAATTAAAACTGCTGAATTTAAAAATACGTTCATTAAACGCGAACGGTGTATATTTTCTGCACACATTGAGCATTACTCGATAAAATGCATGATCCAAAAGATCATTAATGCCTAAATTCTAAGCAGAATCATCGCAAAGCTCATAACATATTTTTGTAAAACTTGTAAGAATTTTTAAATGCTTATACCTTTATACAATATTTTTACAGACATCTTCTTACTAGCCATAAAATTAACAAAAAATCGTAGATATTTTCGAATAATCGTACGATTATTTTACGATTATTATACATTTTACGATACATATGCATAAAATTAGAAAACTACTCATAAGTTTTAACAAGTTTTATGAGAACACGTTACGGATTTACGATTCTGCTTAGAATTGACTCATAAATCTTTCTCTGGTACACATGCTAATTCGATAAAAGTCAACTCGTGGGAATTTTGCGAAATTGCATAATGATAAACTATCATTTTACCATTTTAAAACTTGATTAAAATAATCAAGAAGATTTTTACGGGATAATACAGGCCATAGGTCATTCAACGCTCGACCTATATTTGAAATAACAAGTTACCTTCAAGATGGTCAACGCTCTCTCCAATCATTTAGAATCATTTATAGTACCATACGGGATGATTCATGGCTGAAAATATATAATCGGCCTCTCTTTCCTCTCATTGTAATCAGTAGTAAGTGTATGCGAGAGTTATATAATTTCAAACTGCTCATCAACGCAGAAAGTTGACGATTGATGCTTATTTATATCGATTAGTACATAATTTATATCGATTAGCGATCGATAAATCGAGAATGTGTAATTAAAGCGAGCGGCTCTTCGAGAAAGTTCCAACAATTGACACGCCATCATGAAAGTAACTCAATTTTGAAAGTCTTATCCTACCTTTTCAGAATACTATCGCTCTTCCTTTTCTTCCTTTAATTTATGCCGCAGCTACTGATTGTGCGGTAAAATGACGGGTATAGTCTGCTGTGCACCCGGAGGTGGCTGCGGTGGCAGGTATTGCATGTGTTGTGGTGGAATTGATGGTATATGAGATGGAATTATAGGGCACATAATCGGATAACTCGGCGCGTGACCTTGCGGCGGAGGTTGCGGATATGTAGGCTGTGGAGTACCAGGTGGATTATAAGCGCCCGGTGTATGTGGTTGATTCGGATTGGCTGGGGATGGCGTTTGGCTAGGTGGCTGCTGAGCTACATGAGGATGCGGATGAGTGTGTGGGCCCATATATTGTATGCCAGGGGCTTGCGGCCCTTGCGAGTCATGGTGATGATGGTACGGAGTGGCCATATGAGGTGGCGGCGGTGCCTGGACCATTCGTACCATTTGTTGATACGCCGGTTGTCCTGGATAAGGCACCTGGAATGGATGTATAGCTGGTGCTAACAATGGCTGTCCCGTTGCTGCGGCCACTTGCATCTGAGATGCTATATCTGGCGCACGATGCTGCATCATAGGTACTGTAAAAATCATACAATACACACACACACACATATATATATATATATATATATATATA